GGGGGCCGCGGGGAGCGGGGCGAGGCGTGAGGAGCGTGTGCTGCGAGCGGGGCGGCGACCGTCTGTCGGCGCTGGGCTGGCTCCCCCCGGGCTGGGCTTCTGCAGCCAACCGGGACTGGCCCGGTCGCGGTGTCAGTCGGAGGTGGCGGCGTCTCACCGCCGTCCCGGCTGGTGGGGCGGGGGAGAGTGGTCCTGCGGTGGGAAACGCTCGCATCCCACAGCTGAGGTGGGCTCGGGGAGGCTGGGGTGTCGCTGCTCAGGCGGTCCCACAGTCCCCATTAATGTGCGTGAGGAGGTGGGCAGGAGCCCCGCGCCCGGCAGACTCCAGGGAAAAGCCAGGCGAAGGGACCGACTCCCAATTCGAGGAGCTCCCTCTCCGGGAATCCTTTGTTTGTGGCTGCCTGTGTGGTTTTTCAAAGCATCGTCTCACGCAGGCATTGGGAATTATTCACTTTGTTGGGAAATGCTCGTATGCACGTTGGAAATAAATGCAGTGCCTTGCTCCCTACAGGACGATCTCAGGGATGCGGCGTCTGCAAGGGGCTCACAGCAACAGCCAGCTCCGTGCTTGTCTGGATGCTCTGGTAAGAGCCCGCCTCTGTCAGCAACTTTCCCGTCTGAAAAATAACAATACAGTCGTTATGGTGCATTTGCCACATGGCTGCATCAGTGCAGGAGTACATTCAGATGAGGTTTGGAGATTAAATCATTCATTCCTTCCTAAACCAAACAGGATTCTTAATCGTTCTCTAGTTGTAATATAACTTGCAGGAGTGACCAACAAACAGCCCTGAGCTTTAATTTCACTATTGTCAATTGCTTGCTTTGGCCAACTTTTTCAGCTAACTAGTAATTTGAATTGAGCACTTAAATCCACACCAGAGGACCTATATCTAAGTAAGTAGGAGATGCAGATGCTGTTGATTTGTGAAGAAGGAAAATGGATAAATGGTCTGGTGTAAGTGTGTAGAGGGGTTTAACTGTACAAAACCTGTGAATATTACTGCCAATCTGCTATTGCCAAAGTTGCCCTCCCTTGCAGAGAGAGACAATTATTATCTCCAGCTGCTCAGACCAAAGATTGTTTGGCCGGTGTTTATGATCATACCAAATATTGTTCAAGTATTACACATATTTTTTCAAAAAAATTAAAATATTTGCATCTCCCCCAAACTCCTCTCAGCTTCCCATGTAAGCCATGAGGAGGTCTCTATAAGGCAGCTACAAATCAATTAGGAAAATCAATTTAGGAAAACTCACCCAGACATTATTGAATAAGAAGCCAGCCCCAATCAGGACTAGAAAGGCTGAATTTGAAAGGTGAAAAAAGAAACAGTTCCCTGGGAAAGGCACATTATTGAATAAAATGCTTAACACACAGTCTGTGTGTAGCCAAAATATATCTGAAATGGAAAGGGCAAACACGATCCTTTGATGTTTGATAAGGGGACAGAGACTCAACATGTAGATGAAGCAAAAACATGACTGCAGTAAGACACTAGGCTTGAAAAGTTAAGTCAAAAAAAATGCCTAGTTTTCTTCATTTCAATACCCATACCTGTGGAAATGCACACAAATTAATTGTTCTATTTGTGGTTAGGTTCATACTATTTCTAATAAAGGAAAGATCATATATGCCCTCATCTGGAAAAAGGTAAGTTTTGGATGTCTTTTCTAATGACACCCTTTTATCTGTTTCTGTATTGAATTTGGATGTCAGTGCTCAGTTTCTGTGTAACATCACTTTGCTTGCATCAGCTTGGCATTAATTGTGAAACATCTTACTCACTGTGCTGAGCACGGAGAACTGGAGGTTTCTGCATGAGCAGGCTGCCATAGTTTGAGATGGAGGCAGAACAAGCACAGGGGGAAGCTCTCCCCATCTCTCAAAGACAGGCCTGACTCGTTCCCTTTATTCACAGGTGGTAAACCATTGGATATTTCTGCCACTGCTGTTCAATTTGCATCACACCTTCTCCTGCCAGACTTTCTGCAGCCTTAAAAGACCCATTGAACTTGAGCTCATGGCTAGCTCTTTCTGTACTTAAAGAAGAGAGAAGTGTCTGTATTCCCACCTAATTTGGAGTGCAAAGAGGTAGGACTAAAAGGTGGACTGAAGCTGCTGGGAAAAAATACTGTATGTCCCTCTTTGTTACTTTTTAGTTCTTAGGGGGAATAGGGACAGGACACCCAGGACTCAATTCAGAATCCAGAGGCTAATTTTTTGTGGGGATGGTTGCCTACTTTGTCCACAATCCTGAATAAAAAGTTAAACATGATGTATGTGAAGTGCTGGGAGAGCTGTTCCACAGCAGATCTCCCTGTAAACTGAAGAAAAATGGTAATAGTGAAAAAAGGAGGGGGCAGGGTGTTGCATTTGGAAAATAGAAAAGGCGTCACCCTTTTCTTCAGGAAGGGTATCAGTGTTTAGTTAACAGCCTTGTTGACTGTTCCTCTGGGCTTTGGGGTGTTCAAATTCAGGTTCCTTTCTCTGCTTGTGAAGACTTAACAGCACCCAACCTGCACACTGAGACCCTAATCATTATGCATACTCTTGTCTTCTCTCTTCAGCCTTACTCATATTATTTAATGGGGACGTTCAGCAAGAGGAAATGAGAATGGAGCCCTCCTCCAATCCCATCTAAATCCCAGGCAAATATGCAATCAGGCTTTGTGCTAACTCTGTCTTGTCCAGTGGCAGGAGACGTGGACAGGAATCTTTTGGGGATTGGCAGCCCGGGCTGCCCCATTCTGGTTTTGTGCCCTTCATCAAAGCAGTGAAGGTGAAACAGCAACTTCATCCAGGCACTGAATCTGTGCAAGGTTTGTGTAGAAACTGATCTGCTGAGTGTGCTGTGCAAACATTATCATATAAAGCCCTTCCAAGCAGGGTAGAGGGAAGAAATCCAGTCCCTATAGAGAGGCCCTTTTTACAAGGGCCAGTAGGGACAGGAGAATGGGGGATGGATTCAAACTAAAAGAGAGCAGACTTAGGATAGATATTAAAAAGAAATTCTTAACTGTGAGGGTGGGGAGACACTGGCACAGGTTGCCCAGAGAAGCTGTGGCTGCCCCATCCCTGGCAGTGTTTAAGGCCAGGTTGGATGGGCCTCTGAGCAACCTGGTCTAGTGGAAGGTGTCCCTGCCCATGGCAAGGGGTTGGAACTAGTCAAATTTTAATGTCCCTTCCAACCCAAACCATTCTATGATTCTATGAAACTTCTTTGTAAATACCTAAACACTGATATCCATTCATGCTTTTGTGCCTCCAGTGGGATGTGACAGCAGAATGAGGTTGTTAGATGTTAAAAGGTTTTGCATCAACTGTCTAAATCTCACATAATTTTTGAGCTATATACCTGCACTCTTTTGGAGGTATGTGCAGCACAGGGCTGAATTTTCAGAGCAAGCCAAATCAGTCCTGTGAAAAACCAAGTTCATAGACTTTGAGGAGTCTCTTGATTAGCTATAAGAACAAGAAGTGAACATGATTAATAAATCAGCTAAAACCCATTTTTGGCAATACAGCTGTCATTTACTTCTTGTAGCTTGTTTGGTAGTGTTCTAATCAGTCAAATCTCAACATACACACTGCCTTACCTAGAAACATTTCTGTGAGCATTTAGAGCAAGAAACTTAAAACTATGAGGACTATATAAATCAATCTTTTATTAGAATAAAATCATTATAAGCTTGATTATAGTAATATTATTATAAAGCTATAAATACTACAGTTATCTATCTATCCTCATATAACAAAAATTATAATAAATTTAAATTATAGCAAATAGTTACAATTTAACTAGTGTGGGAGTCCCCCAGAAGCTTCTTCCTACTAATGTTAAAATGGTTTGTTCAAGATTATTTAACTCTCAAAATATCCTAATTTTGCAGGTCAGTGGGAGAGCCTCATGTAGCAGCTGGAAGTCCTGACTCCACAGCAAATGCTTTAGCTGTGCCATCCTATCCCCACCTGATACTGCTTGTTGATATTTATGTAATAAAGGTTTTAATGGTGCAGCTCTGCTGCAGGCCTGGGGTAGGAGCAGCAAGAAGGGTGCTGGGAAGGGCGAGCCCAAGGCTCCCTGGCTGTGACTTCCAGCAGGAAAATCCCTTGGGTGGGATTTTCTTCCTTTCCCTGTTAATTGTTAGTTCTGAGAGGAGTCTGTTTTCTCACCAGAAATCAGCTCACCACTTACTGTGAGCCAGGGAACACCCAAATAAACCTCTGCCAGTGCTGATGCTGACTGAAGCACCTGGTGAAAGCTGACTTCCTCAAAGCCTTGTATAAAGTAGGACCCAACACAATGTCCCCAGAGAGGAATGAGCCAGAAGGGCTAAACTTTTACAAACAGAAAACATTAAAGAACCAGTGCCTGGAAGGATCTTTGGGCCCTGCAGTAAGAAGGGCTCCATTGCAACAGAAAATTAGTAGGCAGACTACTGACCTGCAGAAAAAAAAGTTAATGGAGCATCAATTAAGCCGCGATTGGTCATGTAATTAGGTTTACAAGTATCTAGGCTGCTCAGAGAACACTCAGAAATTCTCTTGCATATGACAGGCCCAAGCTGTTTCTCTAACTGCAACACCTATGGTTAAACTCAATGAACTTGGAGGTCTTTTCCAACCTTAATGATTCTAGGAATCCCGAATATATGTCACCATCCTTCTCTCGTGTTCATACAGCTAACCGCAAAGGAAAAGCTGCACTGGTAGTGTTTCCCTCAGTCCTCCTTCTCCAAGCAACTTCTGAGGCTCAGATGAGCTACCTCTTGAGGGGTTTTGCTGTGAGTTCACTCATCTTCTACAGAGGGTAATTTCTTCAGGGCAGATGGAATGTCTTCTCTGACTATGTAGATTTATGGCGTTCCATCAACATAATAATATAGGGATTATGAAATGGAACAACTTAAGTGGAAGTCACTGGACAGGTGGCTTGGCTTTAGTAGTTAGCTTGTAAGTATTTCAAAGCTTTGGCAGGTGTCAATGATGCTGTATGTACCATATGTTATTTATGTGGCTTTATGGCCAAGAATGAGAGCAAGAGCTTTCAGAGAAATGTGATCTCGCTGACTCAGTCAATGGTAGATGCACATCCAGTATCATAGGATACAAATGATGAGCTATTTTTGTTAAGCTTAGTACTGCTCTGAACTGTGGTTTCTGAACTGTGTCTTTTCATCCCAAAGCATTCTGCCATTCATTGCACTTGTCCTTCCTTTTTCTCTCTCCACTTACTGAAAAGGGACAGAGACAAGATGCCATTTCAGTTATCACTTTAATTTTAAGATGATTTAGTGCTGTCAGAAGGGGGTATGGCAGATCTCAAGTGAGTATTTTATGTCCAAGAGGAAGATACAGTGCAGGGAGCAGGACAGATATTTCCTAGAATCACAGAATATGCTGAGTTGGAAGGGACCCACAAGAATTACTGAGTCCAGCTTCTGGGCCTGCACAGGACACCACAGGAATTACACCATGTGCCTGAGAGCATTGGCAAACACCTCTTGGATTCTGTCAGGCTTGGTGCTGTGATCACTTTGCTGGGGAGCCTGTTTCAGTGCCCAACCACCCTCTGGTGACCACCCTTGCTCTGCACAGCTGGAGAGGGCAGGGAATGCCAGCAGGGCTGCTGGAAGGCTCTGAGACCCATGGCTGGGTGGAGATGAGCAGAGATGGGTGGAGACCCATGGCTGGGTGGAGATGGCTGTCAGGTTCTGTGGAGGAGAGGGGACTGCTGAAGGGCTGTCTTGGCCCCTAATTGAAAAAAAAAGAAGACTACACAAAAAACTTCCCTTTGCCCCCTATGTTTTGCCTTGCCTCTGTGTGTCCCTGCTCACACCTCCCTCCTTTCCATATCACCCAGAAAGGGACTGCTTTGGGGAAGGATGATGAAAGAAAACAAAACTAGGTGTTACTGTCAGAGTGAGGTGGTAACAAGCCACAACAAGCCTAAGCTACTCCATTTTCCTCAGTGACAGGAGGCTGTCAGAAAGGGCTGTGCAGCACACCATTGAAACACCACCACACCAGGCATGGCTGTGCCTCACACCACCCACCCCTCCAGACTTCACCATGTGGGTGTGAAGTGGATCCTGGGTGCTTTGGAAATTGGAGACGAGCCTGTGGGGGTGGAGTACATTAAGACAAGGACAGTTCCAGGTGAAGAGGTACAGATACAAGCACTAAATGGAAAAGAGGGATACCAGTCCTTGTCTTTGGGTAGTGTGTGGAACAGTGCAGGGCAGGGACAGGCACCATTGCCCCTGCCACATTAGCAATTTATATAGTAAAACATTCACAATATTATACTTGCCAGTTCAAATTGTGTTGCACAACAGTGCTTTTTATGGGTGTTGAGCAAAGCCATTTTGAATGAGATGAAGACTGCAGTAGCCTGATTAGCGTCTGTGTGCCTCAAGAACATGGCATTTCTGTTTCTCTGTTGGACTCAGTTAAACATAATTTAGTCTGTAATTCTTCTTTGTCTGGACTAGACAGATCAGTTGTTTCTGCTTATTGTAAATTGCATTTGCTTGCATAGTTTGGTGTTCTGCTCTCTTCCCTTGGCACCTGATTATTTACATGTACCTCAGTTGATCCTTCGTGGACAAAGTGGAAAGGCTCAGTTCTTTGTAGCTTCCAGCCAGGATTCACTTTACAGATGATAACTGGCAAAGCCATTCACCCCCTGGGCAAACATGGCAAATTAATTTTGAAGCTAGGCAAACAGAAACAAGCCCTTTACCTGCATTTAGCCGCTCTGAAAAGCCTTTTGCCAAGGACAGAAGAGTTATCTGAACAGTCTGGTTAGAGTTGTTCTAAATGGGAAGGCGGGCTGGAGCCAGAGAACATGGGAGAAACAGGGTTATTTCTGAACACTTTACTGGAACTAAGAATCAACACTAGTCATCACAGTTCTGCTGGTTAATGGCAAAGTGTGCTGCCAAACTCAGCCATTGCCCTGGCTTTTGGCACGGTATCGCCATGTCTCACAGAGCTGGAGAGCAGTGAGCCACCTTGCCCTAGCCTGGAATCATCCCCAAGACACTGGTTTTTTTCACTGCCCTGAAAGCCAGTACTTGTTCTGGCTTCCTGGCTTCCTGCCTCACTGTTCCAAACACAGCAAGGTGTGGGACAGAGACGTGGAAAGCTGCAGGGTGTTTCTGAGTGCCTGTGTGGCAAATGGACAAACTCATAAACTCCATCCACTTGCCAGATGATGATTCACAGATTGTCATGACAATTTACTTCTAGCAGTCAGTCTGCAGGGATGTGGCTTCAAAAACCAAAACCAGTATGAGAAGGCAGGATCATTGCTACCTTTGGGTGCTGACTGACCCTTTTCCTGCTTTGCTGTGGCTATCAGTCCAATTCCAGAGGCCATTTGAGCAGGACTGCATAATCTAACCTCTGCTATCTACATCTGTGTCTGCATACCTGGACAGAGAGCGACCGACTGACTGGTGGCAGAACATCCTGACTGACACGTACCAGAGTGCAACTAAGAGGGAGACACCAGCAATTAACAAGCCTCTGGTAGGAGTGACTGATTGAGAGACGCTCCAGACATCCAGGTTAAGCCCTTCATTTGACCCTGAGCAAATTATTCAACTCCTATCTGTACTGAAAGGTTAATGGCATTATTCTGCTCTGTTGTGCTCCTGATGCCTAAAGAAGTGTTTGGAAAGCCTCAGTGGAAGCACAGCAGAATCATTTCAACCTGCTCTGTGCTAGTGTGAGTTTGTACAGTGAGAAGAGTTTGCCTTCAGGCACAGCAGTGCTGAGAACCAGCACTGCAGGTTCATTCCCCCATCAACTCCCAGACAGTTGTGAGATTTCTAGCCTGGAGGAGCCCAAGGTGTGAGCACAAAGATGACCCTTTCCTTCAGCAGTCCCACCACATACAGTATCTAAGGATGCAGCCTGGACAGTGACTACACTCTACACCATCCACTCAAAGCTCTGTAGCAACTGTGGCTTCAGTTTAGCTGGTGGTCTGCTTTCCCAGCATAGGAAATGTTACTCCTTCCCTGAAATACAGATGTTCCTACTGTTCTGCAGCAGTGCTCCTATTTCATGACAGTGTTAGGTAGCATGTGCACACAAGAGAAGCACAGAAGGCACCTTAACCCTTTTCATGCTGAATGCCCTCATTTTCCCATCCTATTTAAGTCCTCGTTTAGTGCATTTGCCATTTCATTCTTGCTTGCCCACCCAAATCACAGGGGCAGAAATCAGGGGGATTCTTTTCCATATTAAAGAAGAAAGTTAAAGTTTTCATGCATCTTGAAATTTTAACAGAACACTACTCAGGAAGAGTATTAGTATAATAGCTGGAGAACAAAAATAGCTCAAATCTGAACTTTCCAGAATATCACGAAGACTGCATTTGGTAGGGGCTTAAAGAGAGAGCATGTTTTTTCTGGCTTGATGAAGGGATGACCTTCCTGTTTAGAACAGTTTTGTTAATGCTACTGGCATAGTATTGCTACTAACTGTTGGTACACAGGATAGGTAGCTTTTAAAATAATCCTGAATCCTACCTTTAGTTCCAGGGATCTTGCTTGTCTTACACTGGTTGTCAAGGGAGGCTCATATTCTCTCATACACAGATGAAGCTCCGTGAAGTTAGGGAGAATTTTAAATGCTTGTATTAAGCTTCTATTAAGGTTGAAGGTGACATGGCGTAAGTTAAATAGGCTGGATTAGTTTTCCACATTTTCACTTTATACATTGTTCCTGATCTGCTTAAATGCAAGTTAGCTGTGGAGTTAACTCATATTTTATACCTGTATGAGCAAGATCTCCTTGAAACCATAGAAACCAATGATCCAGGAGAAAATAGCCTAATGCTTTTCCTACTCCACCCCCTTCTGCAAGGCAAGTTCAGGAGTGCCAGGCTTCCTGGCATTTTATTTCTGCACAGATCTAATCCCGAGTTGGCTGTGGGAGCTTACCTCAGGCTGCATTGATAGGGCTCAAACAGTTCCCAGTTTTGGAAAACTTCTACTTGGCCCTGTACCTGTCTCAGGTTTCTATATCAAGAAATTTAGCTAGTTCCACTTCATAGTCTTTGTTTATTTATATCTTTTCAATACTGAGCCACAAATAGTGCTGAGCACTGACACCTCCCAAATTGTGCTCTCGGACACCTGTCAAATGTGTTGCACAATGAAGATAACAGTTCATACTTGCCTAACTCCTTCAGTGCTCGGGCAGGCATCTTGCATTTAGAGTGGCAAAAGGTGGGTAACAGCTAACCTGCAGCAAAGCAATATGTAAGAAGAAGTATCAGTAACTCGTGTGATGGTGTTTGATGCCATGAGCTGATGGGGACAGATCTTCCTTATGTATCCAAGCTCAAACTCGGCATGGTCACATGGCCTTCCAGTACCCAAGAGGAGCACAAAAGAAACAGGGAGAGGCACTTTTTTTAACAGGGCATGTAGTGATAGGACAAGGGGGAATGGCTTCCAACTGAAAGAGGGTAAGAAGTTTAGATTAGGTACTAGGAAGAAATTCTTTATTGTGAGGTTGGTGAGGCACTGGCACAGGTTGCCCAGAGAAGTTGCAGAGGCCCCATAACTGGAAGTGTTCAAAGCCAGGCTGGATAAAGCAACGTGGTCTAGTAGAAGGTGTCCCTACCTGTATGAGGGGGTTGGAACTAGATGATTTTAAGGTCCCTTCTCACCCAAACTGTTCTATGATTCCATGATTTTCTCTCTTGCTTTGTTTCCCACTTGTAGAATGGGAACAGCTCACATCACTTTACCTGAGGACAAAGGAAGAAAGGATAAATTCATTGAGAAATACAATGTGTGTTGGGGCATACAGTGTTGTAGAAGAATTTCTGGCAAAGATACCACATCTCTCCAGACTGCTTTCTTACAAAACAACTGAGTTCAAGAAAGTAAGATACCTTCTGGTCCTCCTGAGGACACAAACAACAGAGAATCATAGAATGGTTTGGGTTGGAGGGGACCTTAAAAACCATCTAGTACCAACCCTGCTGCGATGGGCAGGGACACCTTCCATTAGACCATGTTGCTCAAAGCCCCATCCAATATTATCTAGTTTATCTTTCAGTGCCAAGAGCTGGAATGAGAGCTGTGTGCTCTTTTTTCCCCCCAGATTAGCAAGACCTACTGGGATAGGAGACTGGAAGTGAGAGGAGGAATGACAAATCAGTAAGTATAATTATTCCTTTCCTTCTTGAAGATGCTCAGAAGAAATCTTTATTTCTGTAATAAATTTAATTTAGCAATGCTGGAGGAGCTCCTTACTTATGCTTGGGGCTTTGAAGAATCACACTAGGTCTGGATGATTCATTAAAAAAAGAAAAGGGAGAGAGAACCCAAACAAAATTGAGTGTGCAATGTAACAGCAGCATCTCACCCAGGACTGCAGTGCTGAACATGGCATCACACTGAAAATAGCTAGTTTTAAATGGATTTTGGTTCAGCATGAGCTTGTTCTCACTGGAAGTCTTTCCCATG